AGAGGGTTGGAGAGCCCTGTCCTAGGCAATAGATCGCAAAGCAGCATCCCCACCAGTGGCATTTTTAGCATGAACATCTTGGTGGGGCAAACTCCCCAAAACACTAAACAATACATTAATTGCACTCTAATGGTGACAAACGGTGCCCACAAACTGTTAGGGCCTACGTAAAGCAGTCCCAACAGCAGAGCTTTCTTTTCAGCACCATGGAGTGAATCCTTACCACTGCTACACCTGGCTATCAGCGGAGCCTTGTCTGGCATCGAAACAGTTCATTCAGTCTCATTTATGGCCTTTTCAAAAAAAACATAGCTGATATGGCTGACTTGCTTAAACAAATGTGGTTTCTACTGACAATTGAGATGTACAAACTATGGCATAAGGGGATGATGAGTAGATAAGATACAATCTGTAATTTTGATTAAGACATTAATGAGCGAGCTAGGACGGACGTAGTCAATATAACTATTTGTTCAGCACTTTTGAAATGTACAGTGACATAATTCAGAACATGGGCCGTTCTTACAGTATTCTCCCTGTACACCAAGTCAGAACCGTAGGATAAATAAAGGGGGCATATAAGCAGACAATGAAAGCTCTTACAATATTAAATGGTTACATTCCTCTAAAACAGGCTACAGGCTACATGTGCACCACCAAGTCAGAACAGTAGGCTAAGTTATGAGGGGAAAAGGGACCAAATTATTAGGGTGAGGCATATGGGCTACTAACAGTTTACTACACAACATACACTTAGTATTACTTTCTTAGCTACAGTATACATATCTCCCTGGCATATTACATAATTTATGCAGCAGCATACAATACATTTTTGGACTCACCTTGTTGTGCTGTGCTCACTTGAACAGGAAGGTGGCGCGGCGGTCCTTGTGGGCAAATTTTGTCATCAAACTTTGCCATCAAAGTCTGGAATGCTCTGGATTTATGGTGCTTTCAACACAACTCGGAACTCTGAAAAAAGCAAGGTTGAATCATGACGTCAGTGAACCTCAGATCGGAGCTCTAGAAAGAGGCCCTAGTTCCCGACTTGGAGTTCCCAGTTGTCTTGAACTCACTGAAGTCTGAGATTTCCCAGTTGAACACGGCAGAAGTCATGCTGGATTGACAGCATAGCCAATGTATTCAACCTTTTCTGGCCCATAATGTTGAATGTTTATCATTTTAAGCTTGGAAAAGAGACCCTTAAACCCAGACTTCCAAACCACTCATTGTTGAATTTGCAATTTCCAACTTGTTGTGTAATGTTTATGAGCACCGATACGTTTTAACTATAATTTCTCTTCATATGACAAGGATTGAAATGGATTTGCCAGTAGATTGACTACGTGACTCACGATGATGACTACTTGTCTAGCTTGCTAGCTAAGATTTTGAAAGTATGATGTTGACATCAGTCCAATCAAAGCTACGGTAGATATAACATGATTTGACGTCATTGACCTTGAGCCTTCTTGGATGGGCACTTCTAATGTAACTCTATGGCAGCACCCAAGGGGCTTGCATTTTTTAGCTCTCCCCGTAGATTTTGAGGTGAAGTTGTGTCCCCATGAGTGACAGAACACTGAGCCAATCACTGCGCAACTAGAGAACATTACCAACCCCTACACTCCGTATTTTCTGCTGGCTGCCCCACCATCACAGAAAGCACTGAGCTAGGCTGAAACACCTGCATTTTGGAGCTGCCTTACTCAAAAAAGTTCTGCCCCACCAGCCCTGAATTGTCGCCCCTGGTCCCTGCTAAACTTTTTGGAAATGGAAAGTTCACTTTCTCATCCATAAACACAGTCAAGTGCAAATATGGTTCAGTAGCGCAAATCGGCAGGATAGTGGGCATTGTTATTAGGAAGGATGTCTACCATGGATGGATCACTAAAATAATGATTATGATCACACTTCATCAATTTGAATATTATGGGGAGACCTATATATTTGGCGGCCAAGCACGAGTTATCAGTGTAGCCTATCATCGTATAGACAATCTTCACGCCTACAATGAAAATTACAGGGGGCAGTTTGTAAAAACAGCCTGTGTGAATCGTCCTCTGGAATAACCCCACTCTAAATTCCAAGCATCTGCCTCTAACCCTAGGAAGCTCTTTGCCACCTTCTCCTCCCTGCTGAATCCTCCTCCCCCTTCCCCCCCCCCTCCACCCTCTCTGTGGATGACTTCGTCAACCATTTTGAAAAGAAGGTTGACGACATCCGATCCTCGTTTGTTAAGTCAAATGACACTGCTGGTCCTGCTCACACTGCCCTACCCTATGCTTTGACTTCTTTCTCCCCTCTCTCTCCAGATAAAATCTTGCGACTTGTGACGGCCGGCCGCCCAACAACCTGCCCGCTTGACCCTATCCCCTCCTCTCTTCTCCAGACCATCTCCGGTGACCTTCTCCCTTACCTCACCTTGCTCATCAACTCATCCTTGACCGCTGGCTATGTCCCTTCCGTCTTCAAGAGAGCGAGAGTTGCACCCCTTCTCAAAAAAACAACACTCTGATGTCAACAACTACAGACCGGTATCCCTTCTTTCTTTTCTCTCCAAAACTCTTGAGTGTGCCGTCTTTAGCCAACTCTCTTGCTATCTCTCTCAGAATGACCTTCTTGATCCAAACCAGTCAGGTTTCAAGACTGGTCATTCAACTGAGACTGTTCTTCTCTGTGTCACGGAGGTTCTCCGCACTGCTAAAGCTAACTCTCTCTCCTCTGCTCTTGTCCTTCTAGACCTGTCTGCTGCCTTTGATACTGTGAACCATCAGATCCTCCTCTCCACCCTCTCCGAGCTGGGCATCTCCGGCGCGGCTCACTCTTGGATTGCGTCCTACCTGACCGGTCGCTCCTACCAAGTGGCGTGGCGAGAATCTGTCTCCGCACCACGTGCTCTCACCACTGGTGTCCCCCAGGGCTCAGTTCTAGGCCCTCTCCTATTCTCGCTATACACCAAGTCACTTGGCTCTGTCATATCCTCACATGGCCTCTCCTATCATTGCTACGCAGACGACACACAACTAATCTTCTCCTTTCCCCCTTCTGATAATCAGGTGGCAAATCGCATCTCTGCATGTCTGGCAGACATATCAGTGTGGATGACGGATCACCACCTCAAGCTGAACCTCGGCAAGACGGAGCTGCTCTTCCTCCCGGGGAAGGACTGCCCGTTCCATGATCTCGCCATCACGGTTGACAACTCCATTGTGTCCTCCTCCCAGAGTGCGAAGAGCCTTGGCGTGACCCTGGACAACACCCTGTCGTTCTCCGCTAACATCAAGGCGGTGACCCGATCCTGTAGGTTCATGCTCTACAACATTCGGAGAGTACGACCCTGCCTTACACAGGAAGCGGCACAGGTCCTAAACCAGGCACTTGTCATCTCCCGTCTGGATTACTGCAACTCGCTGTTGGCTGGGCTCCCTGCCTGTGCCATTAAACCCCTACAACTCATCCAGAATGCCGCAGCCCGTCTGGTATTCAACCTTCCCAAGTTCTCTCATGTCACCCCACTCCTCCGCACACTCCACTGGCTTCCAGTTGAAGCTCGCATCTGCTACAAGACCATGGTGCTTGCCTACGGAGCTGTGAGGGGAACGGCACCTCCGTACCTTCAGGCTCTGATCAGTCCCTACACCCAAACGAGGGCATTGCGTTCATCCACCTCTGGCCTGCTGGCCCCCCTACCTCTGCGGAAGCACAGTTCCCGCTCAGCCCAGTCAAAACTGTTCACTGCTCTGGCACCCCAATGGTGGAACAAGCTCCCTCATGACGCCAGGACAGCGGAGTCACTCACCACCTTCCGGAGACACTTGAAACCCCACCTCTTTAAGGAATACCTGGGATAGGATAAAGTATTCCTTCTACCCCCCCTTACCCCACCCCCAAAAAAATAAAAAATAAAATAAAATAAAAAATACATATTGTAAAGTGGTTATCCCACTGGCTATATGGTGAATGCACCAATTTGTAAGTCGCTCTGGATAAGAGCGTCTGCTAAATGACCTAAATGTAAAATGTAAATGTAATAACGCACATGCTTGGATAATAATAACAAAACCAACGTCTCTAGTAATACCCGTCAGAATAGGGCTATAACATGGCAAATAATAGGGTTATCAGTTTAGAGTGTGGAGCATCATCCCATGGGATCCGTGAAGGCTGCACACAGCATAAATATCACCGAAATATTATAGTTCCTACACATCACTTTCGGAGTCGACTCCAAAAATCCTGGAGTCGTGCACCACTAGTGGTAACTAGTAGAAACCCATCCCCTTATTGCCATTGAAATTCCCAGATTGCATTTCGAGTACTACGTTATGACCAAACCTGTGTTAGCCAATGGTTATTGGGAAGGAGTCGCCCGTCAACCAATCACAGGCCGTAGCGTTTTTAAAGGTATTTAAAAGAGGGCTGTTTGAAATTAAACAAGACGCAGTTAGCGAGCGAATGTGTGATAGGCTGGCGTGCAATGTGCAGTTTAGTTAAACGCTAGCTATCGTTGTCCAGATGAAATATTACTATAGCTAATAAACTCGTGGTCTGATAGCAAGTATCGAAATACTATAGAGCTAACGTTTGCTAGACGACTTTTCTTTCGCTTGGAATTGAAATATCTGTTTTGGCTCGCTTGTTAGCTAACGATACCGAGTTGGCTAACCCGTGCATCAGTGGGCAAAACAGAGAGCCGAGTTGCTAGATTGGGGTTTGGCATCAACTTGACCAATATTCAGCAATACACGACGTGAGAGAAGTCATTGCTAGTTTTTTTAACCGTCGTAACTAAGAATTTGGTGAGTTTAGACACCATAATCAAATATGGTTTAGTAATCATGGATGCTAACGGTATAGGCATACTGTAGCTAGCTAGCTAACGGAATAGCTACAGTAACTAGTTAGCTATCAAGGTTAGCTAGTCTGCTACTTGCCCTTTTGGCTAGCTTGCTAACTTAGCTAAAGGCGCTAACCACATTTAAATCTTTCTACAGAATATGGATGCTGCCAGACTAAAGTTGGCAAAGGACTCGAAGCTTCAAAGGCCGGTGTCTGAAAACAAGGTCAGTTCTACATTCTAGGTAACACTGTTCCAACTGTTTGTCATGGAAATCTACAGGATGTAGCTAGCTATGAAGACAATCCTTACCCCGTTCTTATCACACATGATTCAACTAACTAATAATAGGCAGCGTTGGGGAAGCTACTCTTTGAAAATATAGCTAGCTACAGTTTACCAAACTACAGTACCAATTAACTTCTTCAAGTGAAGTAAGATGCACTAAAGCTACCCTTAATAAAACATCTCGTTTACTTAACTAACGAAAGTTACTTGATAAAGTAGCCAGTGTACTAGCTACATCCAAACTACTTCGTGAGAAATTATCATGTTAATTTGAAATGTCAAACTACGAATTGCAAGACAGATCACTTTGGAGTCACATTTTAAGTGTAATTTGGCCTATTAAACACAATGTTTCAAGTGAGAATTGGGCAGGTTTGATGCCGAAAAATAAAGGTAGTTATTGCGTACTTCACCTATGACTCTTTTGCTAAAAAGTAGTGTGTAGATCCAGTAAGCAACACTGCTACATTGCAAAGTATTTAGGGTAGGTAAGTGTACCTATTTAAGGAAAGGGGGATACCTAGTCAGTTGTACAACTGAAATGTGTGTTGTGCATTTAACCCAACCCCTCAATCAGAGCTTAATCTATTATGTGACGTTTTTACATTACTTACACCATTTTATTTTTATGCGAGATAAAAAGGTTTGGTAAAATATGAGAACTCAGGACTGGGCTTAAAGGATACCGAATGTACTATTAAAGCCTGTGGGTTTTCCAAATAAGCCCACCTCCATAAATCCATTTTTATTAATTTCCAAATGTTGAGTAAAACTGAAATTTCTTATGTAAGCTTAATTATAATATTCTCCACTAAAGTTAAATTACTATTCATCATGGAAGTTACTCATAACAGGGGTGTCCAATCGTATCCATAGGCTTGATTAGTTGAATCAGGTGTTACTGCTTGGTTAGAACAAAATTCCTGCACCCGCACTGTCCCTCTGTGGATAAGACGCCATCTTTTAATACTTTTTTTAAAAAGTGGGTTCACATTTGCTGTACTCTTCTTGTTAGTTACATTTTGTCTTCCTACAGCCTACTGTTTGAATTGTACACGTGGTGGACCAAAAAACAGAATCACCTGGATGAATGAAGGACAACAATATCACAATGCCCTAACCGCATGAGTAGTCGTCCAATAGTCAGCTTGTCCCTTATTTCTGATATTAATCACTACCTGTAGGTATTATATCCCTGATCTTAATCTTGCTAAGGGCACCATGCATAACTGTAGTTTGAGTATTTTAATCAATTTAACCTCCATGGGATCTGTGTCCCATGTACGGGACGGTTGAGCTAATGTGATTAGCATGACTGTAAGTAACAGCAAACTTTCTAGGACATAGACATGTCTTATATGGGCAGGAAGCTTAAATTATTGTTAGTCTAACTGCACTGTCCAATGTATCATGTCAACTGGTTTGATACATTCACCTCTGAAAGTAAATAATGTACTTGCATTACAATCAAATGTTATTTGTCGCATACGTGTATAGCAGATGTTATTGCGGGTGTAGCGAAATGCTTGTGCTTCTAGCTCCGACAGTGCAGTAATATCTAACACTTTCACAACACACACACATCTAAGTAAGGAATGGCATTTAAGACTATATATACAGTGAGGGAAAGAAATATTTGATCCCCTGCTGATTATGTACGTTTGCCTACTGACAAAGAAATGATCAGTCTATAATTTTAATGGAAGGTTTATTTGAACAGTGAGAGACAGAATAACAAAAAATAAAGGAAAAACGCATGTCAAAAATGTTATATATTGATTTGCATTTTAATGAGGGAAATAAGTATTTGACCCCCTCTCAATCAGAAAGATTTCTGGCTCCCAGGTGTCTTTTATACAGGTAACGAGCTGAGATTAGGAGCACACTCTTAAAGGGAGTGCTCCAAATCTCAGCTTGTTACCTGTATAAAAGACACCTGTCCACAGAAGCAATCAATCAATCAGATTCCAAACTCTCCACCATGGCCAAGACCAAAGAGCTCTCCAAGGATGTCAGGGACAAGATTGTAGACCTACATAAGGCTGGAATGGGCTACAAGACCATCGCCAAGCAGCTTGGTGAGAAGGTGACAACAGTTGGTGCGGTTATTTGCAAATGGAAGAAACACAAAATAACTGTCAATCTCCCTCGGCCTGGGGCTCCATGCAAGATCTCACCTCGTGGAGTTGCAATGATCATGAGAACGGTGAGGAATCAGCCCAGAACTACATGGGAGGATCTTGTCAATGATCTCAAGGCAGCTGGTACCATGGTCACCAAGAAAACAATTGGTAACACACTATGCCGTGAAGGACTGAAATCCTGCAGCGCCCGCAAGGTCCCCCTGCTCAAGAAAGCACTTATTCATGCCCGTCTGAAGTTTGCCAATGAACATCTGAATGATTCAGAGGAGAACTGGGTGTAAGTGTTGTGGTCAGATGAGATCAAAATGGAGCTCTTTGGCATCAACTCAACTCGCTGTGTTTGGAGGAGGAATGCTGCCTATGACCCCAAGAACACCATCCCCACCATCAAACATGGAGGTGGAAACATTATGCTTTGGGTGTTTTTCTGCTAAGGGGACAGGACAACTTCACCGCATCAAAGGGACGATGGACACGGCCATGTACCGTCAAGTCTTGGGTGAGAACCTCCTTCCCTCAGCCAGGGCATTGCAAATGGGTCGTGGATGGGTATTCCAGCATGACAATGACCCAAAACACATGGCCAAGGCAACAAAGGAGTGGCTCAAGAAGAAGCACATTAAGGTCATGGACTGGCCTAGCCAGTCTCCAGACCTTAATCCCATAGAAAATCTGTAGAGGGAGCTGAAGGTTCGAGTTGCCAAACGTCAGCCTCAACCTTAATGACTTGGAGAAGATCTGCAAAGAGGAGTGGGACAAAATCCCTCCTGAGATGTGTGCAAACCTGGTGGCCAACTACAAGAAACATCTGACCTCTGTTTGCCAACAAGGGTTTTGCCACCAAGTACTAAGTCATGTTTTGCAGAGGGGTCAAACACTTATTTCCCTCATTAAAATGCAAATCAATTTATAACATTTTTGACGTGTTTTTCTGGGGGTTTTTTTTGTTCTGTCTCTCTGTTCAAATAAACCTACCATTAAAATTAGACTGATCATTTCTTTGTCAGTGGGCTAACGTACAAAATCAGCAGGGGCTCCAATACTGTTTTTCCCTCACTGTATATGGACAAGCAATGACAGAGCGGCATGGACTAAGATGCAGTAGAAATATTAGAATACAGTATATACATGAGATGAGTAATTATTAGTGACTAGTGTTGCATTTCTTAGTGGCCAGTGATTTCAATAGGCGGCAGCAGCCTCTAATGTGCTAGTCATGGATGTTTAACCGTCTGATGGCCTTGAGATAGAAGCTGTTTTTCATTCTCTCGGTCCCAGCTTTGATACACCTGTAATGACCTCGCCTTCTGGATGATAGTGGGGTGAACAGGCAGTGGCTTGGGTGGTTGATGATCTTTTTGGCCTTCCTGTGACATCTGGTGCTGTAGGTGTCCTGGAGGGTGGGTAGTCGGTAATCTTGCTCTGATTTGTCATCCTAAGGGTTCCAGAGATAAAATATAGCATCGTTTTGTTTGATAAAATACATTTTTATATTCAAATGTATGACATTCCTGGGCGTGTGTAAACTTACATTTTGTATAACCATATCATTTTTGTATTCTCTATAGTTATGTACTTAAATGTATCAATTGACCAATTCGGCACATTTGGGGAGACTTGATACAAAATTGTCCAGTATTGCAATGCTTCACTGGATCAATCTTTAATTTTGCACACTGCTGCTTTTTAGTGGCCAAAATCTAAATTGCGCATAAACTCTAATATTATATTGTGGCCTCTCTTGCATTTCAAAGATGGAGGGCTCTTTTACCAGGTCTGTGTTATGTTCTCCTACATTAATTTCACATTTCCACAAACTTCAGTGTTTCCTTTCAAATGGTATCAAGAATATGCATGTCATTTTAGGGAAATTGAAGAAAAAAAGGGTCTGATCCTTAAGAGGTTAGATCTTAAGAAAATGTATGCTCAGGTTCAGTGACTATTAGGCAGTGTAAAAAGTACTTTTTTGGGGGGTATCTGTACTTTACTATACTATTATTTTTGACAACTTTTACTTCACTACATTCCTAAAGAAAATATTGTGCTTTTTACTCCATACATTTTCCATGACAACCCAAAGTACTTACATTTTGAATGCTTAGCAGGATGGTAACAATTTGAAATTCACACACTTATCAAGAGAACACGTGGTCATCCCTACTGCCTATGGTCTGGCGGACTCACTAAACACATGCATATTTTGTAAATAATGTTTGAGTGTTGGAGTGTCCCTGGCTATCCGTAAATTTAAAAAACAAGAATGGTGCCATCTGCTTTGCTTAATATAAGGAATTTGAAATTATTTCTACTTTTGATACTTAAATATATTTAAAACCAAATACTTTTACTCAAGTAGTATTTTACTGGGTGACTTTTACTTGAGTAACTTTCTACTAAGTTCAATTTGCTACATGTGTCGGTGCTGGGCTTGTACAAAAGCCTGCACCATCCCGTGGGACTCATTGGCCAGGCTACAATAACACTGCTGTAACTAAAACAGGAAACCATCATCCTCCAAATAGGACATGTCGTCATGGCTTGACCCAAACAATTGACTGCAATATCTAGTATGCAACAGAAACCAATTGTTTGCATAAAGCAGTGTGCTGGTATCCTTTCTGCATTATCTTGCTGTAATAGTAGTCCTAAATGACTTCTCTCCCATATTTAGCGTACCAGTGATGGGCCAAAGCGTGTTCCAGTGTCCCAGTCGTCCAGTGGTCACAAGCCTGCGGCCTACGCCACGCCAGCCCAGCGCGTTCTAGGGCCGTCAAATGGACCACAGCGTATCCAGCGACCCATGACCCAACAGAAGCCGGAGACCACAGTCCTACGCACCATCAAGACCACAGAACCGCAAGCTGGTGACCAGAACGTGAATGCTGTTCAACCCCAGCCTAAACCTCAGTCTCAAATCCAGAGCCTCAAATCTGTTAAAGGTCCACCTCAAACCCAGACCCCCAAACCTGTTCAGACCCCCAGCCAGTCAAGGGTTCAGACCCTAACCCAGAGCCAGCCAAAGAACCAGACCAATGCTTCGACTCCTGCAAGTTCTGAGCCAGCCAGAGCCACCGACCAATCCAAGCAGGAAAAGCCACAAAGTAAGAGGCAAAACTTTTTATAATAGTCAGATTGGATGGGAGTAATGCTTTGGTCCACTCTTACACTTGTGTTTTTGTTTGTTCAGATAAACCTACCAAGACTGAATCCTCAACTGCTTCTTCAAAGTAAGTGCAGGTGGTTGAATGAACGTTGATTCTGACCTCCGCAGACCAGATGTTATGATTCTGTTAAAATGTAACTGCTGTAGAAAATAGGTACAATACAGTTCTTCCTCGTTACTGTGATGGTTAAACGTTTCAAAATGACGTAACTGACTTGGCCAATCTTCCTATTGTAGGAAACGCTGGGCCCTGGAGAACTTTGACATCGGTCGTCCCTTGGGGAAGGGTAAGTTTGGCAACGTGTACCTGGCCAGGGAGCGCCAGACCATGTTCATCCTGGCTCTCAAGGTGCTCTTCAAGAAGCAGCTGGAGAAGGCCGGAGTGGAGCACCAACTACGGAGGGAAGTGGAGATCCAGTCACATCTCAGGTTGGTACTGATCATGCGGTCCTAACTGGCATTCATTCAAATAGATGTGGACTGACTGGTGGTTGACACTGTCAGGTCTGTTTTTAGTGATTTAGCCAACTCCTTTTGTTGGGGCATAACAAGGAACAGTCAAATTAATAAAGCTCTTTTTACATCAGCAATTGACAGTGTTTTTTACAGTAATCGGTCCTAGAGACCTGACCAGTCAGTGAGTGTAGTTGGCTAGTAGGATCAAACCTTTTCTGGCCATCAGGCTAGTCCTAGGATTGTCCTTGTGGATGAGCACCGCATCAGCTGTATTGTAGAACATGATGACAATGCACCAATTAATTATTCAGCCTCTCTCTCTCTCCCACAGGCACCCCAATATCCTGCGTCTCTATGGTTACTTCCACGACACGGCTCGCGTTTACCTCATCCTGGAGTTTGCTCCTAAAGGAGAGTTGTACAGTGAGCTCCAACGATGTGGAAGCTTTACTGAACAAAGGAGTGCCACAGTAAGAGGATTTCTTTTTTCATTTTGCTAACTTTGAGAATAGTTTTGAAAAGGCCCGTGACCGTAGTTTATAGAATTATTTGAAACGTGGCCCGCGACAGGAAAGATGGCAACAACACATGTGGCACCAGTAATATCATAACTGATCTATGCCATTTGAACGGTTTAGGGTAGCCATGGGCAGTTTTCTGCGCAGTAATGATTCAGCCATTTAAGCTGTGTAACTGTGGCTGTTCTGTTCGTCTGTAGGACACTCGGGGACTGAGTTCCAGCGATCTAAAATATCAAAATGAAAGATGAGCTCAAGTGTCTGCTCTTATCTCTGCATTCCTGATCAATCAGTACCTTTGACACATTTCAATCACTTCAAAGCCTACAATCCTTTGAACTGAAATTGGCCTGGACCTGATTTGCCAGATCTTCGTAGTCTTAAGTGCCCTTATTTAGATTTTTTATTTTATTTTTTATATTAAGATATCATCACAAAAACAAGTTGTTAAGGGAGAGAAAATAGGAAACCTCCATTTAATTTGAATTCACGTGCTGCAATTCCTAAGTCTTCCTTATGTGGCTCAGAAGTTTGGACACCCCCGGCCTAAATGGAAGCCATTCTCTTTCTCCAGTACATTATGGAGCTGGCAGATGCCCTGAACTACTGCCACTCTAAGAAAGTGATCCACCGGGACATCAAGCCTGAGAACCTGCTGCTGGGGGCCAACGGGGAGCTGAAGATAGCAGACTTTGGCTGGTCGGTGCACACACCCTCCTCAAGGTAACCACTCAATCTATCAGTCTCCCTTGTTAGTAATTTATTTGCAACTTTAGATTGTGTGGGCAAGGACATTGATGTAAAATGGGAGTTTGCTTTTGCAGCCAGATAAACATTGTCATGGGCAATAGTTTCTCTAATGTTACTTTTCTATTTGCTATGTTTCACCTCCCTGAATATACCCCTGATGCACTTCTTCCGCCCTCTGTCCAGGAGGTCGACTCTGTGTGGGACTCTGGACTACCTGCCTCCAGAGATGATTGAGGGCAGAACCCACGATGAGAAGGTGGATCTGTGGAGCCTGGGGGTGCTCTGCTATGAGTTCCTGGTGGGACGCCCTCCCTTTGAGACCAAGAACAATGAGGACACCTACCGCAAGATCTCACGGGTAAGAACTGAAGTTATTTTCTGTAGAGCTGTTGGTATTGCTTTACAACTTGGCAAAACCCACTTACTGCAGTGTACACATTATTGATTCAGCTTTGAGCTTACTAGCTTACATTTAGATCAAATTGTATTTGTCACATGCTTTGTAAACTAACGGTGAAATGCATACTTAAAACCATGCTTAGATAAAACTGTTCATGTGGTGCTCAGTTGGTAAGAGCTTAGAACTGGCTGACTGTGAATTGATCTCTTATTTAGCTGTTTGGTGTTGGTTTACAATAGGAAAATCTCCCATTTATTACTGCACAAACTATTGATTCAACTTGAACGGTATTGGTTCACATTTTGATAAAACTAGTCTGGTGTTACCCAGTTTACCTTGGCGTTGCTAGCACCACGGTTTTAAAGTGTCCATTTCCTGCATGGATCACGTACACATACTAAAATGTATTGGTAGATGTTTAGGATAAACTGAACAAATGTCATATTATATATTCCTGTAACACAGCTCTGAATCCCCTCTTGTTCTTGCAGGTGGAGTTCACTTACCCGGCCCACGTCAGCGCCGGCAGCAGAGACCTGATAGACACGCTGCTCAAGCACAACCCCCTCCACAGGCTCCCTATCCAGGGTGTCCTGACCCACCCCTGGGTGGTGGGGAACTCTACCAAGACACCCACCGCCATGTCTCACAGCCCAGAGCAAAGCAAATGAGGACCGTTGCCAGGTGTTTCAGAAATCCTGGTTGGCGGTTTCCCAGCTCCTACACAATCCTGAGGCCATGGTCGCGTTCATTAAAAGGCACGTAACGAAAGTGATCCTTATTGGACTGCTTCAGTCCATTTATTTTATTTAGTTTGTCTAATGAACACGACACATGCTTAATGCTTGACTATACTGCTCACTATGCTATGGATTACTTGGCTCTCTTCTCTGCTATGAATGTGTTGTCATCTGGCATCTTGATGCCCTTCTGTAATTTGTGGCCTTTTGACTATTCTATGGCATTTTATATTTGTAAATATTTCACTGTTTTGTTAGTAAAATTATGAATTTTATGGAATTCACTGTCATTACTTGAATAAATATGTTGGATTGAAATGTTGTAGCAGTGTTTATGAGGGATAGGAAGTTGTCATTCTGAACTTGTGACAAAGCCTCTATCAAAATGTGCAACGTTTTTATTTTTTTACTTTAAGGTAGCCTTATCTAATGCACAGGTTATCTGGATGACTACAGTACATATTTAAGTTTACTTCTCAAATAATCATTCAATAAAAGTACAGTAGCCAGGGTGCTTTTCATCGGTTATGGAAACGCCCTTCATTGCAACTAGATGGCGTACCTCTCATTCTAATGAAGCAGCGATTCATCAACATGTTGACTGATCCGGAGAAATAAAGAATTTGATTTAACTTCATGAGACTACTTTGTCTGTACATTTGATTCACATAATTTAAATGTACTATTAACCCTGTAATTGTGTTTCATCACAAAGGCGTAATCAGTTTACTTCCATCTCTGTAGGCTATACATTCTTACGATTGTAGGCGACGCAATAGACTCACATATTCACTGTGCCTCGTCGCGCTAAACTCTACATTCAGGTGTCAATATCGTGTTAAAATGGTTGCTCATTCAACAACTTGACTCCCTACAATCCAGCTGGTTGAGCGTTTGCGTCACGAGAATTTAGTGTTTGAATGGCTTTAATGTCTTTATACCAGTTAAGCCGTTAATGAACGATTTGATTGTACCTAGGGACTATCAACCATATCGCCACTGTGAATTTGAAAAGTCAACTGTAAGCATAAAGGCTGTTTTAAATATTTGTCTTTAACCAAATTGCCTTCATTTAGTCAATAGATATCTGTGTGAATATAATCTCGATTCTCACAAAGCTCAAATACATTATATACAAAAGTATGTGGACACCCCTTCAAACTAGTGGATTCGGCTATTTCAGCACCACCCGTTGCTGACAGGTGTATAAAATCGAGCACACAGTCCTACAATCTCTATAGACAAACATTGGCACTAGAAAGGCCTTACTGAAGAGCTCAGTGACATTCAACGTGGCACCGTCATAGGATGCCACCTTTCCAACATGTCAGTTCGTCAAATTCCTGCCCTGCTAGAGCTGTCCAGGTCAACTGTAAGTGCTGTTATTGTGAAGTGGAAACATCTAGGAGCAACAAAGGCTCATCCACGAAGTAGTAGGCCACACAAGCTCACAATGGGACCGCCAAGTTTTGAAGTGGATAACGCGTAAAAATCGTCTGTCCTCGAATGCAACACTCCCGAGTTTCAAACTGCCTCGAAGTTCAGCATAATTGTTCGTCGGAAGCTTCATGAAATGCCTTTCCATGGCGGAGCATCCGCACACAAGCCTAAAATCACACAATGCCAAGCGTCGGCTGGAGTGGTGTAATGGAGTGGTGTAAAGTTCGCCGCCATTGGACTGGAGCAGTGGAAACGCATTCTCTGGAGTGATGAGTCACGCTTCACCATCTGGCAGTCCGATGGACGAATCTGGGTTTGGCTGAAGCCAGGAGAACGCTACCTGCCCGAATGCATAGTGCCAAATATAGTTTTAGGTAGGAGGAATAATGGTCTGTGGCTGTTTTTCATGGTTCAGGCCCCTTAGTTCCAGTGAAGGGACATCTTAACACTACAGCATACAATGACATTCTAGACGATTCTGTGCTTCCAACTTTGTAGTAACAGTTTGGGGAAGGCCCTTTCCTGTTTCAGCATGGCAATGTCCCTGTGCACAATTTCTATTTTGATTATTTTATTTTACCTTTATTTAATTAGGCAAGTCAGTTAAGAACAAATTCTTATTTACAATGACTGCCTACACCGGCCAAACCCGGATAAAGTTGGACCAATTGTGCGCCACCCTGGGACTCCCAATCACGGCCGGTTGTGATACAGCCTGCAATCAGGGTGTCTGTAGTGACGCCTCAAGCACTGAGATGCAGTGCCTTAGACGGCTGCGCCACTCGGGAGCACAAAGCGAGGTCCATACAGAAATGGTTTGTTGAGATCGGTGTGGAAGGACTTGACTGGCCTGCATCGAGCCCTGACTTCAACCCCATCGGGATGAATTGGAGTCCACGCACGCAGCAATGTTCCAACATCTAGTGGAAAGCCTTCCCTGAAGAGTGGAGGCTGATATAGCTGCAAAGGGGGGACCAACTCCATATTAATGCCCATGATTTTGGAATGAGACGTTTGACGAGCAGGTGTCCACATACTTTTGGTCATGTAGTGTCAGACGTCTCTTTTCGTCTCATCTTTTCCATTTTCTAATCTCATCCTCTTTAGTAGCCTAATTTCAGCTATAGAGCGTGCAGATTGGGCTGAGGTAGGCATTTACATTTTAGTAATTTAGCAGACGCTCTTATCCAGAGCGATTTACAGTTAGTGAGTGCATACATTTTCATACTGGCCCCCCCGTGGGAAACGAACCCACAACCCTGGCGTTGCAAGCGCCATGCTCTACCAACTGAGCTACAGGGGACTGTAGACCTCTGACAGCGCCCATGTATGCATTTACATCAACAGATTGTAAACCTTATGGAGATGGACTGTGCACAATATGCAGGTCCTCCCAAATAGGCATGCGGTCCAGGTCCTCCCAAATAGGCATGCGGTCCAGGTCCTCCCAAATAGGCATGCGGTCCAGGTCCTCCCAAATAGGCATGCGGTCCAGGTCCTCCCAAATAGGCATGCGGTCCAGGTCCTCCCAAATAGGCATGCGGTCCAGATGCTATTTCTTAACACAAAATCCACATGTGCGATGAACAGGCAGGCCTATCTGCTTGTGCCCCACAGCAAAAATCTGGCAAATAGCAAACCGTCTGTTCTAACTTCATTCCGCTAAATTTATACAAGCATGATGAACCAAAGTGGACTAAACTACAAGCTGCACATACCTTAAACTATTAACCTTTAGGCTACCATTTTCTTTATGCTATGCGGCGTTTTAGGAATATAGGGCTAGGCTATTCCAAGCAATAGCAAAAGCTACAGTCATTACGATTATAGACAATTACTGGCTAAAATGTACCATTATCGAAGCAAATGGTAACAATTATGGCACGTGACTTGTGCACCTGCATTCACTGTTCGCAGTGCTCGCGGGACCTCTTTCTCTCTCTCTCTCTCTCTCGCTTAAAAACACACACATTTAATTAACTCAAACATTACCTTTTTGGTCTTGAATGTAATTGCATAATTCCTGTAATTTAGAGTGGCTATTACACAGGAATAACACTCATAAAACGTTAATCATTAAACAAAACCATGCATGTATTTTTATTATTAATCGGATATCTGCAAAAAATCTCAAAGTATTCAACATTTTTTTTCCATATTTTATTCTATTTATAGAGAAAAAATACATGTTTCTCACGGTTTTCGTTTTCATCACATAAAACCACACACATTTATACAATATAATTTCACTTATTTCTTTATTCTTTAATATTCATTTTCACGATATATGATAACGATTTATGAGATATAGGCTACATTCCATCTTTTTGAAACCACAATAACACTACACATACGGTTTTATAACATTTCCACATGACCCGTTGGATTGCACAGAATGAAAAATGTATTTATGCACATGTTCTTCTTTGTATGATGTCTTCTACATTCAGACACTTGATTCCGGACCTCGAATTATTCAAATTCATCTCGCAGGAATAGTTTACAATTGAAATGCATAATGTGAAACAGGGGATAAATTCGAATTGAGTGTGACAGAATTCCATGGGGGTTGGGGGTTCTTAACGACGGGACAGTATTTTCCTCTGTCTGGGGTGAATATGGGTCAAATTACTTTGGGACTTCTGGTTCTAAAACGCCGTTCTCCGAACGCTAACGACGTAGCCTTTTACTTCACGGGCATTTGCCGGTTTTTTTTTCTCACAATTTCATAACTTGTGCGATAGGTATGTGTAGGCCTAACGATATGTTGTAGGCTAATGGTTATTCATTCAAATATCCAAAACACGTCTTTCCTTACTCTGGTTATAACCGTTTTCTTTTCCACCTCCCAATTCCAGATTTATTTTCTTATCTGTCTGAATATCATACATTCAATGCATAGTTAAAGTAGCTGTATATGTAATTAGACTACTATAATCATACTGTTTCAATTATAGCGCTTGGAGAGAATAATTACTTCTCAATAAATATATTTGGGATATTCCTAGTATTCAGTAACAAATTATATGGGCATCATCCATGATATGTATTCTATTTATTTTGTCTTGCTGATATACTTTATTGCCATTATGTTAGTTGTCATCATAATAGGTCCACATTACAATATGCCAATGTGTTAATTAATAATCACATTCACCGCCCATTTGAAACATTGCAAATAATTTAGAAGAAGAAAATGGCATCATATCAAAACGCACAGCATCGTTTATACCATTTAGTCACATTATGCCGTGAAACTGTCAAAGTCCAAAACCACACGCACTCTTAGAATAAAAGGTTCTGGATAGAACCAAAAAGGGTTCTATTGCTTGCTTCATATATGGCACCCCTAAAGGTTCTATATAGAACCCTTTTGTAGGGTTCTTCTCTACTGAACCAACAGTGGTTTCCAAATAGAACCGTTGGGTTCCATATAGGGTTCTATATGGAACCAACGCCGGTTCTATATAGCACCTTAAGTTGTGCCATACATGAAGCAAGCATAGAACCCTTTTTGGTTATATCCATAACCTTGTTTTCTAAGAATGCAGGCTTGAATGTGAAATGAAATGGCTCTCAAGGTGGCAATAAACCTCCACAGAGATGAAAAGACACATTGCTCATTTAGCCATTTTGTTTAGGTCGATTGAGCTATTGTAAACCTTCACTCCACTGAAAAATATGGATATGCATTTAGTGATATTTATACATTACATTACAAGTTGAATTGTCCATATCGTGTGTCATGTTTTGTGATGTTTGTGTCTTTCTCTCCGCGCGCGTGTGTGTCAATGCAAGGGTGTAATGAGCACGCGCAAATGTGTGCGTGAACTGCATTCTGTGCGAGCATTTATTTCGCATGAATTCTGTAAGCATGGGCTGACTGCGCTCAGTGGGGATTTCAGTTATTCACTTTAAGATGGATGTGTGGTAACATCTATATCCAGCAGACAGTGGCTTGGCTAATCTTCTATGCCATATTTGTAAGCTTCTATGAGTCCCTCCATTGAGTGGATGAAACCGGAGATAGCGCATATACCTCCTATTACAAATATGGCGACATCAAAGAATACGTGGTGCCATAGAAGCTTTCTCCATAGCAGCTTGAGGTGGAAGAGGCTGGGAAGCAGAAAGCACAGCCCTGCCCCCGTCAGGCTGCCGGTCAGACCCATGAGAAGGGCAAAATGCGGTACATAAATGGCCATGAGCAACGTGAACACCACAAGGCTGCATCTGAGAGTGAGGCCCCAAGCTTTCAGGCGTCCATCGCCCCCGTAGCAATTTGGGAACCACGTGCGTTCTTGTTCATTAAAAAATGATTTCTCCAAAACCTCGACTGCAGCGAAGAATGGCAATGGGTATGACAGTAAGGCTTTGGAAACTAAGAATAGGTTTACGACAGCCCTGATGGTTGACGGCAGGTTGTCTGTGATGACCTCCTTGGTGGCATCCGCCCAGGTCAGGTAGGCCACGAGGGCGAACAGGCCTTTGAGGACACACGCGGCAATGTGGGTCCAGTTCATCATGCAGTGGAACTCGCTGGGCTTCTGCATGTTCCCCTCGAGCGACGGAAGGAAAATCTGAGAGGTGTAACTGAACACGATGATTCCAATAGAAATGGGGAACTTCTTTACATCGATGTAGAATTTGACTTTATCCCAGGCCCAATCGCGCGCTCTGGAGAGGCAGTAGGCAATTACCAGGATGTTGATTACGAAGTGCGCGATAGTGCACAGCAAGCTGAACTTTGACACGGACTTGAGGTTCTTGAGGAAGGCGCAGGGTAGCAGGGCGGCGGTGGCCACTATGGCCCAGGCCTTCTGTGAGATGGGGAGAGTGGGAAAGCTATTGTACATCAGGTTCCCGCTCACAACCACGTACAGGATACACGTCATCACCAGCTCAATGATCTGGGCTACATTCACGATATGACCACCTAAAGATGGAAACCTCGGCTGACAACACGCGTTGGCTATGTCCACGTATGTGTCCCTCACACGCACCAGTTGGCCGTCTTCGTCCTCCTCGTACAGGCAGGCGATGAGAATTTTCCCCGTGTAGCAACACACCACGGCGGCGAAAATAATGAGAAACAGTCCGAGGTAGCCCCCGTGGAGAATGGCGTATGGTAAACCCAGAACGAACATCCCCTGAAAATACACAAAAATACACAATATGGAGATGGCTTGGCCTATGGGAACAACGCATAACCAGTCCACAATATAGGAAATTCAATACAATAGATAATAACTAATGCATTGTAATAAAGCCTAAGTATATGCTATATATATGCATGACAATATATCCTAAAGCCATTCAATGGTTGACATGGGTATGGACATCATAAACACAAAATGGTCAAATCCAGATTATTATTATTTATTAATTTTTAACAAAATGTAGTATTTGTTGATCATAACGTCATGCATTATAATATATCCTATGTGTAACATGATTCAATGGGGGACATGCTTGCTTGTATGTGTGGGTTCTCGTGGGCATTCCATTTCGCTGTGAGCGTGCCCATTCCAGCAAATTGTGTTAACGTCATTAAGGGGTTCTAAAGGAGACACGTCCTGACGTAATGGTGACTGCCATGACGATGACCATAGCCTGAATAACGTATGATGGGACGGCGCTTGTCTTGGGGACTTTTTGCCTCATTTTAGTATTTATTAGGATCCCAATTAGCTCTTTCTGGGGTCCAAACAGGAACAAAGCAACACATCATATGAAATACACTGTCGAGTAAATGTTAACACTTTAACCGTCACCATTTATTACGTCGTTGTAGGTGATGGACACGCATTGCCTGTGCGTAATGTAATGGTGAAGTGCGTTATAAAATGATTATAACGTATCGGATAGGCCATCGAGAAAAACACAGAGCGGCATAGCTTAGGCTATATCTTCATGACTTGATGAGATGTTTATCTAGAAGGTCACCTTTTGATCTGAAGGTTAGATGCTTTCAAATATTAGAGTTTTTACTTGAATGCGCGCCGGATCGACAGAGTCAAACTCGTGCGTAAAACCGCATCAACGGATCAGTACGTCATTTTCTTTTGTCAAATGAAAGTCTATGGGTCTCCTCCATGGAATTTGACTATTTCAATATCCTTTATCATTATTCTCTAGGTTATGTGTATGTCTTCATATAATGAAATACAACAAAACATTACGTTTCACGCCCTGGTTTCCTTCTTATTCTAACAGCATGCATGCTATTCCGTTTCCCCGCTCATTATGAACCTATCCAAACCACATACATGATCGGTGTGTTTAAATAGCCCAATTCATCTCTAAATCCTAAATCAAAACGAAATGTCCTGTCAGATGGGCTTGTTCATCTTTATATTTCATAAGGAACTATTGGTAGTCTAATTGGTTGGTTATATCGACTGCCGTAGCCTATCTCCATTTGCCGTTTTTCACAGGTATTGATTTCATGGTTGCAATCAGTTTGGCGATGACTGAAAGAAAAGCTATGTATATGTCTTTACATTTGGCTATGGCAGGTAACACGAAATAATGAATGAATGAAGGAGTAAATGAGTGGAAGAGGACACTTGCAAAAACCCATGAAGTTTCAACTGGTTATCTGAATGCGTCTTTACCTGGATTGCATTCGTGACGTTCCAGCCCGCTTCCCAAGCGGTGATTTTTGGTGATTTCTCTTCTTCGCCCAGACCTGAGGCTTTAGAACCGGAGGGCGGGGGGCCGGTGCCATCTCTCTGGTAGTGGCTGTCCCCAGCCGCCATACCGTCTTCTCCTCCACCCATCCCACCCTCTCCACTCCCTTCTCCAGCGTCTCCACCACCCATTTCATCCGATTTCATGATGTCCATCTGCAGTCCTTGCCGGTGGTCGTAATCCAAATCATCGCAGGCGGCGAATCCCAGTCCCTCCTCGTCTGTGGCGGCCTGGAAGCCCATCCTGGCCATCATCCCGCTCACCTTCGCAGTGGATTTATTCGACATGGAAGTTGCCGCATTTGACAGTTTATTTTGAAACTTGCTTCGGATTAAATGTGCCATTGTTGCTTCCTCTGTCTGTTGTACCGGTCGGTGACGGTTCTTTTCTAATTCAAATACAATAAATAGCCAACAACTTTATTTTGCAGATCTGTTTCTGTACATGAATAAAACGAGGCTATGGTACAAACGGTGGTTTTATAAAGCCCTGATGGTTGTTCAGTTGCTATGTCCACTGCTTGATCATCCCCAGGTTCATGTCACCTTCAGACGTCGGCGCTTCGTCTCTGCATCTTGTTAACTCACTCTCTTCTTTAGCTCGACGAAAACGTCCGATCTTGATTCACGATTTTTCTGAAGGAAAACAATTTATTACGCAGAGGATTACTCTAAATTGCGCGTTGCAATTTCTAATATTGAGTTGGTTTATTGATAATGACGGTTGCAGCAGCGCTTCCACAGTTGGTTTTCCTTGGTCGTTACTGATGCCAATGCGGTACGCTTGAGCCTGGGGGTGGCAAAGAGGAGGCACGTGTCATCATCAGCCTGCCAATGCAAGGACTCTGCTTCGTGAAACACGTCTCCAGCCCCCAGCGGGCGCAGCCACACCATAGAAGAAAACGGGAGCTATTTGCTGCATTTCTGGGGGAGGTGCTTACGGTACCCCGTCCCCTCCCTACCCCCATATTCTACAAAACTTCATTCTAACATCCAATGGCATTCTGGGGGCTTCGAGTCTTAAATAACTTTACGTGTGGCCTATAAAAGGAGATAGGCGGAAACTGAAGGCAGAAACCCATCAACTCTTTGGACCTGGTTATGTAACTTTCAGACTAGAATTTGACCACCTTTTGTTGTGACCATGAGTTTCATTTTGAATGACAAGAGGACGTGCGTGTCTTCAGTGGCAAAGATAGTTGGATGTGCCTACTGGAATTATATGGATCGAATTTCATATGTTTTTTCGTTTATTCGTGAAGAAAATGCTTGTTTTCTTGTTTCGTCGTTTAAAATAGGCTATCGATGGTGAGGTAGAAGTTAACTCCATGTAGCCAATCGAGAAAGAAAAAACGTTTTTTTCTATTGATTTAAATGCTGCGTTATTTCTGAGGCTTGCATTTTACGCACCAGAACTCCTTTATTTGTTAGAAGAACACAATTTTGTAATATCCCCCTACCTTACATCTAAATAGAAAAATAATATAACCTTGGTTTTGTTTCTAAAACGCAGCCAATAATTCATTTCGAAATTAGGATAAAAATGCTGTATTTTCAGTATAAATGCGTTGGCCATAGCAAGTTTTATTGTGTCTGCAACGAACCTCATCAAGATAATATTTTGGATGAGGCTTTCTCCTTAATGTGTTTTTAATTCACCCTTTGATTGGAAGAACTATAGCTTTTAATAGCAAACTATTTATTTGAGCTCGATATGAGTTGTGAGTTTTAAAAAAAAAGAGTGTAACGTGATTGCAGGCCTAAATATGGGACCATCTCCAGAATAGGTTTATTGTTACGCGTGGATATGGAGTTTCCTTTTAACTATACATATTCAATACAAATATTTACTCTTGCATGCAGCACGAGTCCAAAACGTTTTTATTGTTTTACAAAAAAAAGAAATATTCTCACATAGCCTACCACACCTATTTAATTACAATAAATAACAATAGGAAGGCCTAGTTTGTATTAGTCTTAATAATAATAATGTATAATAAACTAACGGGCGGCAGGTAGCTTACTGGGTAAGAGCGTTGTGCCAGTAACCGAAAGGTCGCTGGTTCTAATCCCCGAGCCGACTAGGTGAAAAATCTGTCGATGTGCCCTTAAGCAAGGCACTTAACCCTAATTGCTCCTGTAAATCGCTCTGGATAAGAGCGTCTGCTAAATGACTAAAATGTAAAAAAAAATAAAAAAAATCTAACAACGTGCCAAAAATAATAATAATTCGAAGTTAATTTAAAAGTTAAAAAATAATCAAAGAATAGTTTGATATAACTGCCAGTGCTAACCCATGCAGTGTGCTAGATGTTTCCATGTTTTACTACAGCAAGTCACCCCAACAGTTTTTCCTTTCTCTTGTCACTGATCGTTTGCGTGTGCCGCTTTCCAGTGTTTCCCCGAGTAAAAATAAAGACTTAATGTAAGAGCGCGACACTCTAATGCCTCGGATGAGTTACATTTCCTTGACCTAATACTATTCTCCATTCAACCTATTTGGTGCTGAATTAAATGTACATTTAATTCAAAAAATGCTTTACAAATTAGGTTAACTGTATTTTTCTTTTTGGAAGCTCTTTTTGCGGTTGGAACATAGAATGAGGTTATAGGCCTATGTCTTTTTTATCCTTAGAAATGTTTTATTTTCAACCGAGTAACTATTGATATTTTGATGTTTCAAACCTCATGTTATGGGGAATTCATTAATCAGTTAGAGATTAATTGGTGATCTTAATTGGTCCTTTGTTTATTTCCTGATTCAGGTTCAGCACCATGCGCAGAAGAACAGCGACAAACCAACCAGACGTTGCTGCTTGGCTTGTTTGAGTGCTGACGAAAAGCATGGGTTTATCCTATTTTTGTTGTCGGTCTGCTGGACTAGGCTATATCCAGTGCAATACTAACCCACTGAAGGATCCATGCAGCGGCTTACCATAATATGTTCACATTTCAAATAGGCGATTTGCATTTTAGCCTACAGTCACCACGCACGTGTATCTGACAGGTTCCTGGAAAATTAGGGGACACTAAAAAATCAAACATCACCAGGAATTAACTGGAAAAATACACATGAAAAACACATTTAAAAAATACCACCAGTGATTGACAATGATATCTAGGCTATTTAAAATCTTACGATATATCACAATTCCCACAATTAAGTTTAAAATACGATGTTCCCTAAAATACCAGAGAAATGGGGGTTTAGCCTACACATTGCACGACCAAACATAAACGGTCTTTTCTGAGAGAGAAGACCGAGTCAGAGATACAATAGACGCGGTCCCCAGAGTGAGTGAAGGGGTTAATCACAGGCGGCGTTATCAGCCTCGTCCAGACCTCCTCTGATCTGTACGACTGTCTGATTGAATGTGCTGAAGAATGAAAAGAACAGCCATGACACCAGAAGAGAGGGGGTTACAGTGCTGAATCCACGGTAGATTCCCACCGCAAGACTTGCTTACAGATAATAATCGGCATTGTTTATTAGCCAATTCTTTATTAACGATAGGCCTACTACTTTTTTATTTACGTTTTAGGGAATTCGCAGACACTCTTTTTTATTATTTATTATCAAGAACATAAATGAAATGGTCAAAACAAAAATGTTTACACACATGTTTACATCTGCATTAAAGGAAAAGCCCAAAAGATTGATTATACAAAAAAATAGCTTATTTGACTGGCTGTCAGTCTTCAACTCCCTCCCTTTGCCATAAGTCATTAATATTTTGTCGAGTGCGCATGATCTAGTGTTCCATGAACACATTAATAACTTGGTATTGACGTTTTGTGTGATGGCAGGCCATATGCAGGTGCAAAACCTCATAAAATCATCAGTTAATGTTGATGGAATTCGCAAATGGAGAGCGAGCGAGTCTGAGAGAGGCGTCGTTCGACTCGTTCCACTGTGCGTATAATCTGTCAGATTACTACCGTTCGGACTTTAGATATGGCTCTGGTCAGTTATTTAGCAGCTATAACAACCTCTCAAGTACATACATTATATTTTAATCTTGATTAATATAATCAGTAAATCAATGTGATTCCGTGTGAGTGTGTGTGTGTGTGGTTTGCTCACCATCTTTTGTTTTATTCGAATACAAGAGCTGTAGCCTATAGTGAACAGATTCATGGTCTGGGTGCGGTTGAATTGCATGGAGGTGAAAGTGATTTTATCTAGTCAATGCTCAGTTTATCACCTATCATTGAAGGCAACGAGGGGTCAAGATGTCGGGTCCCAGGGGGATTCTCAACGAATTGTTGTCATCTTGAGAATACAGATTAAGGGAAGATAGCCAATAAACGCTTGTTTTATATCGCACGTAGCCAATCCGGTTTGAGGCTCTATTGTTTTTGAGACACCCATGTATTGTATAGACCTAACAGGGGCAGAGGAAACATATTCAAAGGCCGTGTTTTTTTGTATTATGTGGAGTCAATCGAAAGCTCACCCATTGTGCTTTTGCTGTCTCTTCTCTCCTCACCTCACGTCCATACATCCGTGGGTCTCTAGACTCCATCCCACCTCCGGCTCTGCAGCAGTCTGCTCGGTTCTTTTCCCTATTACACACTTGGCTGAGCAGGCACATGTCCCCTCCTCCTCCCCCAACCACAAAATGATTAATTAGCACAGTATGAGCCACTGAAGAGAAAATGTGTTTGTAAAATATTCTTAGATTGAAATTCTACCCAACCAAACCAATACATGTAGGCTATGATCGCAAGCAATGCCACTAATAATATTATAAAATAAAATAACATTCGTATAATGCCCATAAATAAGATATTTCAAGTGCATGAGAGAGAGAGAGAGAGAGAGAGAGAGAGAAAAGAGAGAGAGAGAGAGAGAGAAAGAGAGAGAAGAAAGATAGAGAGAAGAGAAGCGAAGAGAGCGAGTAGAGAGAGAGAGAGAGTAAGAGATAGAGCCTATCTCTCAGCGCTCTCTATCCTCTCTCTCTCTCTCTTCTCTCTCTCTCCTCTTCTCGCTCTCTCTCTCCTCATCTCGCTCTCTCTCTCCTCATCTCGCTCTCTCTCTCCTCATCTCGCTCTCTCTCTCCGCTCATCGCAGTACTATCGACAGAGCTCATTCTCCCAGACAGATTGTGTTGAAGTGAACCACCCGTGTCTGTGCGCGCGGGTACGTTCAGTATATGGTGTAGGGAGATGTCTTAAAGAGAGAGAATTGAGAACACTCACTGTCACTGTAGCCATGATAATGGTAATGATCGGAGAGATCACTCAGAACATTGCACTGTGCTGTGTACTTGAGAGAGGCTGAAAGTCACAGCACACAAAGCCTGAGCTTTTCGATCATGCGCAGTACAGGCTGGAACATGCGC